GGGCTGCCTCCCCGCCACCCCTGGCTTCTCCTTCCTGGTTCCAAGTCTCAGGCACAGTTAAGAGATGGAGATTCACAGTATTGATAAAAAATAATGCTTGAGTAAGACTCGGGTAAAACAAAAAAGGGGGGGGATGCTGAACCCATTAACAGGATCTTCTTTCTATGAAAACTTCTGCTCAGCATATTCAAGACACATTTTGGCAGAAAGTCATTTATCTTCTCTCTCTGGACCTGGGAACGGCCGTAGGAAGTGTTTGGGCCTCTTCCCAAATATAATCCCTGACCATTTGGAGGCTGAGAACCCTCTCTGCCCGCGGCCTCCTGGGACTCCGGTGGCCCGCCCGTCGGTCAGAGGCACCGAGCATCCCCACGGTGGACATGTGGGAAAGATGGTCTCTGTCCTTGAGGACATAAGGTCTGGTCAGGGAAACAGAGCAGGCCCATGTGAAAGAGTCAGGAACACAAATATAGCAAAAATAGACCCTGCAGTGTGGAAAATCCAAGCGCAGACGTCACTATGGACTCAAGGTCCAACATTAAGTCAGAGAGGAACAGGAAGAAGTTGAATGTAAAGTGCTAGGTCATCAGAAGAGCCTTCCTAGAAAAGGTCCCATCCACTTATTTGCCGACTCTCATTGAGCATTTACGTGGTGGGCACTGACGTCTGCCTTTGGGGGAACATGGTGCTGACTGTGCAGGGAGGCTGGGGTCAAGGATATATGGGGGCACTGGCCCAGGTGGGAAGTCAGAGCAGGCCTCCTTGAGAAAATGATGCTTTCATCAGATTCCTGAAGGCAGCCCTGCCCCTGACTGCAGCCAGAAACCCAGGAAAAAGTACAAAGAGGCCCCCACCTGTGGCCTGCCCACCTCTTTCCATCCTAGCAGGTGTGCCATGTGTGGGCACCTCAGGCCTCCAGTTCAAACTCTGTCCACATGCCACTCCCCTCTACTCCTTGGCCAGCCTTCAGGCCTAGAGTCTGATCTATCCTCAGGAGACTGATCCAGATCAAAGGCCCACAGTGGGCTTGGGCCCTTTGCACAGGGCATTCAGGAGTCCTGAGTCTACAAAGTTAAATGATCTGGAAGTGGGTGCACAGCCGGTGGCAGACATGTCCCCCCCCACCCCCACCCCACTGGCTTCTCACTCTATGGAGAGGGACACAGCTACCTCAGCCAGTGTACTGCTCAGGGCAGGGATTCCGACTGCAGGGTCTAAGGACATTTCTGCCTAAAGGATAAGTAGGTGTTAGTTAAATTGGCAGGAGGGTGGTATAGGAGGGTAAGCCTTCTTCTGGAAGGAAGGACCAGTGCAAGATCCCTGAGATGGAAAATGTCCTTGGTCACCTTCCTAAAAGCAGGGTGTGGGGGAGAGCTGGGTGAGGTTGGAGAACGGACAGGGGCCTGGTGGGCCAAGGTAAGGACATGGTAGGCCAGGAGAGGTCGTTTTGAATGGAGCAAGAACATTCCTTCCAAGCTAAGCTCGTGTGATGCCAATAAGGTATTTGATGTGAGAAGAGAAAGCAAGCTGTTCGGTTTGGCTGGGCCTGAGAGGACTGAGAAAGGCAAGAGCAGGAAGAAAGAAAACATCTGGAGAAGAGCAACTGTGGAGGAGTTGTAGGCATGTACCAAGGGACCAGGGTCATCAAAGGGAACTCAGAGCCTCTGGGAGGAACGCGAACAGAATTGGGCGGAGGCCCAGATTCGCTCTTTGTTCTGTGCTGACCATGGAAATGAGGCCAAATAATTTGCCACATTTAACACCTTTCCACTCAGAGATGCTCCCTATGCTTGAGTTGTAGTACTTTATACGTAGGCGACTTGTGTGTTTTCCTGTGTGATTTATGTCCTGGAAATTACTCTGCATTGGCAACACATCACATTTTCCACTTAGTAAACGTAGCCACTGTTTATGCTTTGGGCAACATTTTACAGTGGTCGCCAAATCCTTGTTTCCTTATTGTGTCGTTTATTTTTTATAATCAGTGATGGCATTCCCATCAGTTAATGCCTGTGAAGTTGTGAATGCATTAGGCCACAATAAGAATTGTCCCTGAAGTCTGTAAGCAGATGTTGGTGTGTGTGTGTGTGTGTGTGTGTGTTTATGATAACAGTGCTTACATAATCTCAACAACCAGGCCCTAGGGACTCACACTCGGAGATGGAACAGTTGGTTTAAATTAGGTTTCCATGTGAAATACGGTATCTCTATTTTTTTCCTAGCATTGTGGGAAAGTATATGGAAAATCATTTGACTGATAGGAAATAAATCTGGATGCTTGATCAGGACTGAGGCACAAACCACGTGCTGGTCTCTGCTCCATGAAGCAGGACTCTCCAGAGAAAGAGGAGTTAACCCTTTCAGACCACTGGGCTAATGAGTCACCAGAATAGCCTGAAAGGACCATGACTTTCCAGAGACATGATTTGACATCAATTTCAACAACAATACAACGGAGCTAAAGCTACAGAAAGATATAGCCAAAGGCCTCAAAAACTAATCCATTGGATGTCCTTGAGGAACCATTTTAACTTCTACGATTTCATTTTTATTTGTAAGGTGACAGGTTTGAATTTCTAGCTCAAAGAGTCAATGATCTTATGATTCCAAGTGTTTTCTGGGGAATTCCCACAGCAGGATAGGGCTTATCAGACACAAATCACGCTACAGGAAGAATTGGACAGAAGCACCAAAGATACTCAGTCTCTATCAGCAAAATAATTTCGTGCTCTGGAGAGCCAGGGTTTCACAAAGGTGACTTTTAATTGGGTAACCAGGTGAAGGGACAAGGCTTGGAAATGGTGAGCAAGGGCTTATTTAGCTACAGAGAAGGGGTTGGCTCTGCAAATCCCAGAGGGAGATCCTTTGTGCTCCAAGCAGCCCTGAGAGATTGGAATAAATGGTTATCTTTTCCCCAGGAGACTCAGAAGTCCTTGCAGGGTGAACAGGACCAGAGCTCATCCTAGGGGTTTTGATGCCTAATCTCTCCTGATGTTGCATGAGGACCCAGCGAAGTCCAGACAGGTAGAGAGCAGAGGAGCATGCTCAGAGCCCCCTGGGCTGGGCCGGGAGGAGGCAGGTATCACTGCAGTGCTCCTGGCTGCTACCAGAGTGTGGCGCTGTTTTATCACTGCAGCTCCATGTTGCTATTATTTCTCTACATGTTCCTGAGTAGGGAGAAGAAAAGGGTGTTCAGCATCAATCTCTTCTGGTCTGTTTTGTTCTTTAACCATTTTTTTTGTGGTACTCTTCTCGATATCTTCTTTTTTTCCAGTTCTGTCCTCTTACTGAGGGCTTAGATGGACCTAACCAATGCCACGTGGAAACTGTCACCCTTCATCAGATGAAAGAGCACCCGACTGGGAGTCCTAGTTTTGACATCAACAAGAATTGTGACCTCAGAAAGTTACTTCTCCCATGAGCCATAGATTCCTGGCCTGGAAAATGGGGTTGGACTGCCCTCTGTTGTGGCTGCCAGCAATAAATGCCATTCATTCCTATCACTTTATGGCAGTGCATACATTCCTCTCATTTTACAGGAGTGCATACAGAACTCTCTTTCCTGCCGTTGTCATGAGTCACCATCAACTCTGTTCACGCCTCACTCTCACTCAGGCCAGGGAAGCAAATGTCTCCTCCCCCCCCCACCCCCCTGCCACCCCACCCATGTTTCAACACTGTTTTTGAACCAAGTGCAACTAATGGTCCATGTGGAGTTAAGATCAGAGCTTCTGTTTGTTAAAAACTGAGCTTATAAGCCCAGACGTTAGCCAGGATGAAGAAAGCAACTTAAGTGAATGCTAGTGTCCAAGCACCAAAGTATAAGTAGCAGAAAAATAATCTTAGAGACTAAGCAGAGGATTGTGAGGCTGCATATCGTAAAGGGGGTCTTAGTACTCGGTTATTCTTAAATATCATACTCCAATCTGCGTAGAAAAGTCAAATCACATTAAAATAAATGTAAGCACAGAGCTAGAGAACATTAGCGTTTGCGTATACACATTAGGCATTTAGTAAGTGGGTAATTAGTGTCAGCTCTGGGGCACACACCTAAGTTCAAATTCAGGATTTGCCACCTTTTGGTTGGGGACCTTGGGCAAGTCTCTTAGGCCTCTGTCCCTCAGTTTTCTCTTCTATAAAGTGAGGATAATAGTAGTCCCTGACTCTTAGGATTGTTGTGAGAGGTAAATGAGTCATGTAAAGTGCTTAGCACAATTCCTGGTACATCGTAAGTGCTATATAAGTATTTGTTCTTCTCAATTTTGCTTAGTCATTTGGGGAGAATAATGCATTTGTAGAAGATAGCTCAAAAAATGTAGTTTTTCACTTGATATTATGTATTTTACTACTGATAAGTATCTTTCATGGATGGGCTAAGTGCACTGATTGCATTTAATCTTGCTGTCCATTGGTCAAATATATTTAAATCATTATCCTTTGGCCTTATTTTTGTATATAGTTTCATGGGATTGTATAGATCAAGAGGGATTTTATGAATTGCCTTTCAGCCTCCTTTTATTTATTTTTATTTTTTTGTTCATCATCACCCGAGGATATTTTCTCCATTGATTTTTAGAGAGAGTGGAGCGGGGGGAGAAAGAAATAGAGACATCAATGTGAGAGAAACACATCAACCAGTTGCCTCCTGCACCTGTCCGGACTGGGGTTAAAACCTGCAACCCAGGTACATGACCTTGACCAGGAATCCAACTTGAGACCCTTCCGTATGCAGGACGGTGCTCTAACCACTGAGCAACATCAGCCAGGGCCAGCCTACTGATTTTTAAAATGAAGATAAAGACTACAGAGAGGTTACATGACTTTCCCATTGCAAAGCTGTGACGGAGAGTCAGTGACAGTGTCACCTTAGTCCCTTGGCTGGATCCCTCATTACCTAATACTAAGAGTATTAGAAAAACAGTTTTTTTGTGAAAAAAAATATATATTTGTCAAGCTTCCAGGACATAGTTTCAGTCAGTGCCCCTCTCTGCACTTTCCAGGTGAGCTCCTGGGTGACGTGGCTGATCCTCACAGCTGGCTCCATGGAGGAGAAGCGGGAAGTCTTCTCATATTTGGTGCATGTGGCCAAATGCTGCTGGAACATGGGCAACTACAACACCGTCATGGAGTTCTTGGCCGGCCTCAGGTATGTGCAGTGGGGAATACGGCTGTCTGGGCACAGTTTCCTCTTACGAGCTGAATGGCACTGAATTAACTGCCCTGGTAACCACATGTACCCAAAACAGGCCGTCGATAGTGGCAATCAATACAAATCATTCCATCAGGTACCCACTGATCTTGAGGGATTACTTTGTTCTTTTATGTCAGATACAAGAGATAAGTTGCTAGATGTTCTTATGATAGAATGATGGTAGAGATAGAGCTAGTGTTCGTGCCTTCAGGCTTGAAAATATTTAGATTATAAGTAATTGAACTGCATCAAGATAACTAACGTTTTTTTTAAGCAATTGGATGGAAAGAGAGAGCAGCCTTATTGTTAAATGATTTTGGTTTTCTAATTGTACATTTTGCTTCCTCAAACTAAATTCTCAGCTATTTTAAGGAAACAATTAGAAATACAAATATTACATATAACAATACTTATTCAGTCATGGTGTCAGTTTAAAATAACCCAAATGAACAAGAAAAAAAATGAAGGAACTAATAGGATACATCATACACTGGAATGTTATTTAGCCACCAAAATTAATGTTTATGACAATTTTTTAATATCATTGGAAAACAAGTAACATATAATACACAAAAATATGTGGGAACAAAGCTATATGTAATAACCTCCGCAATATTTATACATCAAAGTTTATAAAATATTTATACCAGGCAGACACAAATAGAATAAATACTAGAAGGAAAGATACCTAATGTTGTATGTGGATGGTAGATCTTTGGGTGGATTTCCTATATTTTTGGTATTTTCCAGATTTTCTACAATGATCCTCTAGTTCAGTGGTTCTCAACCTGTGGGTCGCAACCCCTTTGGCGGTCGAACGACCCTTTCACAGGGCTCGCCTAAGACCATCCTGCATATCAAATATTTACATTACGATTCATAATAGTAGCAACATTACAGTTATGAAGTAGCAATGAAAATAATTTTATGGTTGGGTCACAGCATGAGGAACTGTATTTAAAGGGCCAGAAGGTTGAGAACCACTGCTCTAGTACGTTTATAATAAAAAAAAAAGAAATAAAAGTTTTAAAATAGTGTCAATTCTCAATCTAACAAAAAAAAAACATTGACCTTTGCTGAGGTTTGACTACTCTGTTACAGAAAGGATGATCAAGTAATGAGAACCATGTCTCATTCATTTATTCACTTCGTTTATTTATACCTCCTTTTCATGCCCCCAAATAGATTTTCACCAGCCTATAAGAAACCAGTTGTAGGACTAGCTGGACTTAATGGGGTGAAATGGGAAAAACTTCTATTTTCCTGACCTCACAGTGTTTTAAACCTGCTAACTGGCCCTCCCTCCCTTGGCTTGGATTACACCGTGGGAGAGCCTGTCACTTTCCCAGCCACTGGTGTGGTTAATGAGCTGTTTCCTTCACCTATGCTCATGAGTGTGAATGAATCCCTGCAAAAAAAGCAGGTCGTCTAAGAGTGTACAGTGTGACACCATTTATATGCAGTTTACAAAACAGACAATTCTACAAACTGCTTAATGATATATACACATGTTGTGGAAGTATAAGACCTGTTAGGGAATGAGATCACTGCAGTCACAGCTGTGGTCCCTTTGGTGGGGGAGATGGGGGAGCATGTCCTCAATGGAGGAATCCACTGGGGCCTCAACCGTATTGTTGTTGTTAATCCTCACTGGAGGATATTTTTTGCATTGATTTTAGAGAGAGTGGGAGGGGGAAGGTGGAGAGGAGAGAGAGAGAGAGAGAGACATCGATGTGAGAGACCCACAGCAATTGGTTGCCTACCACACTTGCTCTGACTGGGGTCAGGAACCTGCAACCCACATATGTGCCCTTGACTGGAATCAAACCTGTGACCCTTCGGATTTCGGGCCGACGCTCTAACCACTTAGCAATGTTGGCCAGGACTCAAACGTATTATTAATGTTTTGTTTTTTAAACTGAGAGGTTGGTACATGGGTGTTTGTCACGGTATATTTCTTTATTCTTTCAAATACCGTATATATTACATAATGAATTTTCAATCCAGTCTGATATAAATCAAAATTGCAACCTCTCAGTTAATTTAAAGCTTTGCCCTTTTCCCACATTTTGCAGCCCAACCAGTCTCAGGAAGCTGCAGTAGGATGAAAAGGAATGGTTTATCTTTTCTCTCCCTCCCTCCAACTCAGGGTCCTGCAGGAAAGGTGGACAGGAGAGCAGAGAAGGAAGCAGGGTAGAGGAAGGAGGAGTCTTACTGGACCGGAACAGCTGTAATCTGGCCTCGGTGTTCCCATAGAGAGAGCTGTATGGGGTGATTTGGGGTTTTTTTCTAGTTATGTCCCTAACATCCTCCACCTCCCATGGCACCATTGCCTGGCAAGAGGCAATGCACCCTCAGTCCCCAGGGTCCAGCTCCGGAGGCCCTGCCCTCCCAGACGTTCCTCTAGAGTCACCTCATTTGGCAGGCGGACCTTTTAAGATAGTGCAGGGCCAACTGCCCGGCACAGTGTCCACTCCGGACTCACAGGAAACACTCTCAGACTTTGCAAACGCATGACACACCCACTGGAACCTTCTCCCTCACATGGCAGCTTCTCTTGTCAGACTTTCCCAGGCAAGAGTCACACACCAGTCTGTGTGATCCACAAACTACCCAGGACACAGGTCCACCTCTCCAAAGAGTCCACTTGAAGCCCCCAAACTTCGGGTGATGTCCCCTTTCCCCATAACACTGATAGTATTCCCTACCCGGCCGACCAGATGCAGTCGTGGCTGGTGGTGGGTACAAGACCACTGGGGTGCAGAGCAGTTTCAGTGACAACCTGGAACCTCTCCTTAGCAGCAATTTCAAAATAGGAAAGTCCCATGTAACATCCTTTTATGCAAATAATACTTCAAGGTAATGTCCCTCAGGATGGGCCAGTGGCTTGATGTCAAAGCTGGAGTCAGTAAAAGCAAAGAGGCTGAAGCAGGCCTCGTGTGCACCGCTGAGGGACTGTCAAATCCAGGGGTCACATTGAAAGGATCAACAGGAGTGGATGACACATTTTCTGCAGGCAACCCTCCATCAATACTGGTGTAAACACTGTTCCCCAGAGGTTTCCCTCTGGGCATCGCTGCTGGGAAAGCTCCCGCCTAAGTTCAGTGCCCACCTTCCAAACTGACGCCTTCCACATGGGTTTTCATTTGTATCGGTCCTGTCTCATTTTGTGTTTCAATTTATAAAAGTAATATTAGACATCATTTGGGGAGTAGGTAGAGATATGGATCCTAAATAAATATCAAAACAGAGAGGAAAAGAATGAATCTATATAGAATTTAGGCTATGTACTGTAAACCGTATTATTTCTCCTTCCGTCTGAAAAAAATGTGTCATTTACTTGCAAATAGGTCAAGAAAAGTTTTAAAAATGTGGCAGTTCATGGACCAGTCTGACCTGGAGACCATGAGGAGTCTGAAGGATGCCATGGCTCAGCACGAATCCTCCTGCGAGTACAGGAAGGTGGTGACGCGGGCGCTGCACATCCCGGGCTGCAGGGTGGTCCCGTTCTGCGGGGTGTTTCTGAAGGAGCTCTGCGAAGTGCTGGACGGCACCTCCGGCCTCGTGAAGCTCTGCCCCAGATACAATTCCCAGGAGGAAACTCTAGAGGTGAGGCCTTTCGCAGTCCTTGCGATCCGGAGCCTCACTGCTGTCCCTGGCTGTCACTCATTTCAGTGAGGAGGGATGCCTCCTTGACCCCAGGGGTCTGTTGTTACTGCTGTGCAGATCACAGAGAACAGAACACCAACCGGCACTGTTTGGGGCTTAGTATAGTTAAGTTAGCTTTTTTTTTTTTTAATTGATTTCAGAAGGGAAGGGAGAGGGAGAGAGAGAGGGAGAGGGAGAAAAACATCCATGATGAGAGAGAATCATGGATCCACTGCCTCCTGCATGCCCCCTTCCGGGGATCGAGCCCACAACCCCGGGCATGTGCCCCTGACTGGAATCGAACCTGGGACCCTTCAGTCCACAGGCCAACGCTCTATCCACTGAGCAAACCCAGCCAGGGCTGGTTAAGTTAGCTTTAGTGGAACTTTGTGAAGGTACCAGTGGAAATGGGCATTGCTTTCTGATTTTTTTCTTAAGGTTGATGGGGTTTTCTTCTGTCTCATTGGTTGAGGATGTCTGGATGCAGAGGATAAAGGAAGTCAGGTGAGAGTATTAACTTTTCCAAATCGGCAGAAGTAAGAATGTGGGCAAGTCAGCAGTGCCTTCCTCTCTTTCTTTGTGGTGGGGGCGGGGGGGACGATGGAAAAGCTGGTGCCTCATCTGAAGATGGGCTCCAGGCTGCTGGCCATGGCTGCCTCACTTGTCCCAGGCCCATTGCTTCCTGTTTCTGACTCCCAGAGAGGAGAGGACCATGTGAGCTTTGCCTTGGGGCATTAGGCACTGGAGAGGAGGGACACTGAGAAACTGGACGAAGGTAAGAAACCTCCCTATTTTAGGTGGAGAAATGAAAGGAGAGACTAAATGGGAGGATAACTTCATGGAGAATTTTGAGGAGTCCTGGAACTCGATTCAGTTGTGGGACACACCTGGAAGGGTCATTCTCACCATGGGGGCAGTACCCACTGATCTTACACGCACACGCACACGCACACGCACTCCCTCTCTGTGACAGTGGGAAGACTCTTGTAAAACGTCAGCCTCTTCTATGTCACCTGGTCACAAAGGCGTCTCCTGGTATCAGGGAGACATGACAGCTCCTGATGGTTACAGGCAACTCAGCCGGCTCCATCTCGGCTTATTTAAGGGGAATGAAAGTGTAAGAAATGAAGGAGAACCCTGAAAGCAAGTCCCCCGGCCGCACCCACACCAGCTCCCTCGTGCTTCAGAAGGAGGGAACACCACATCTCAAGGCCCCACTGCAGCAGGGGGTGGGAGAAACTTCCCGTCAAGACACAGAGGACAAGAGTGCAAACACGCCCAGGAAGCCTCTGTGTCACCTTAGGACACATGGGAAGTAAAGCAAACGCCACCTTGCTCAGTGATTTTACCTGGTTCCGGAGTACAGTATACTTTTTCATGGTTTTTCTCAATTCTCCCTGCCCTTCCGCGGTGAAGTGGCTAATCTCTCTAGGGAACCTTGGAATAATATTGCTTTTTGTGTTTTCAATCCCAAGTGCAGTGTTAGTTCCTAGAGGGACTAAAGTTGTCTTAGTGAAAACAAGAGTAAGTTTTGATAGTTCATGTGGTGAAAGGGGAAAAAATGTGTTTCCTGGAGGTTCTTGTTTTTTCCCAATAAAATAGGCACAAATACCATTATTTATGACTATTATGATTTCATTTCTCTAGTCACGTAGGTTATTTAGATGTACTGTATGACATTGCAATAATCATCTCTTGGTATATTTTTCCAGTTTGTAGCCGACTACAGTGGACAAGATAATTTTTTACAACGCGTGGGACAAAATGGCTTGAAGAATTCGGAAAAAGAGTCCACCGTCAACAGCATCTTTCAGATCATCAGGAGCTGCAGCCGCAGTCTGGAGGCGGAGGACGAGGACAGCCCCAGTGAGGGGAGCGGCTCTCGGAAAAACTCCCTGAAGGACAAAGCTCGCTGCCAGTGAGTTTGCATTTTAACGGGAAGAAGGGTGCTCATTGCTCCTTCTTCCTACTTCGGTTTGGTTTCAGGTAGATGTCTAAGAAAACCTACCTTTATCAGTAAGCAATGCTTCTTTCTCTCCCATCATTACCAATTCTGAATTCGAATGTTTTTAATATATTTTTATTGATTTCAGAGAGGAAGGGAGAAGGAGAGAGTTAGAAATATCAATGGTGAGAGAGAATCATTGATCGGCTGCCTCCTGCACACTCCACACTGGGGATTGAGCCTGCAACCCACGCATGTGCCCTGACTAGGAATCAGACTGTTACCTCTTAGTTCATAGGTCAACGCTAAACCACTGAGCCATACGCGCTGGGCAAGAATTTATTTTTTTTCTAAAACATCTTTATTACTATACTAGAGGCCCAGTGCCTGGCCCAATCAGGGCTGATCTGGGCTAGGCCTGTTGGGGGAGGAGATGGCGGGAGGTTGGCCGGTTGGCCATACCCCTATCAGGACCCAATCAGGCCGGCCAGCTGGGGGAAAGGGCCACAGGCGATTGGCCGGTAGGACCGCCGCCCCCCGCCCCCATTTTGTTTTGGAGACTTATGAGCAGTTCTTCTATATGAGCTAATTGTAGGTTGTGGCCCGTCTGCCCCACCCCATGAATAGGGTTGAGAGGGTGCTTTGGAGCGCATGGGCCTTGGGGGGCGGTATATCGGAAGTGGGCGCCCCCCCCCCCATAATTGAGGGGGGGGGCCACCCTCCTTTTTCTGGGGGGGGGGGGGGGGGAGGGGCGCTAGCCAAGGGGAGGGGCTGCGACCCAATCTGGGTGGTGGGGGCCCATCAGGGGATGGCCGGCCAGGGGGAGGGGCTGCAGGAGGTTGGCCACCCTGCCCTGCCCCCTATTGGGGTTGGAGGTGTTTGATCAGGGGCGGGCTGGCCAGGGGTAAGGGAGGAGACATTTGGCTGGCGGGACGCTCTTTTTTTTTTTTTTTTTTTTTTGCAACTTCACAACTTTTATTTGTGGTGCCTGTGCTATCTCTCGAAAATACCTTCTCCCCCTGCCCCAGACAGTGACAGGGAGGGAGCAGCAAAAAATAGAAGACATTCCTCCCTATTGCACATGGACCCTATATACAGGACCACCTGGCCCAGGTCAGCGGGATGCTTGGCACATTCTCGGATCCCTCACTCGGGAAGAGTGACTGGTGGCAGCACACATGAGAGGGGACCTCCGGGCACTGGTCCTGGCACTTCCTGGTCCTCGGTTCCTTCCTGATCCTGTCTGCAGCCCTGATTCCCCTACCTGGCTCAACCTCCTGTCTCCATCCTGGCCTCAGATGGCCCCCTTTGCTCCTGGAGGCTCTGTCCTCCCCACCCAGCCTGGAGGTCCCAAGGGGAGGTTATGGCTTCTCAGAGACTCCCCAGCAGCCCTGTCACTCGTGTTCAAAGAATTTTTCTTTTTAATTTGGCTGCTTTGTTCTAAAATTACTGCTTATAATCTAATTTCTTGCCATCAGTTAGCCCTCTAAGGAAGGGGTTCTCAACCTTCTGGCCCTTTAAATACAGTTCCTCATGTTGTGACCCAACCATAAAATTATTTTCATTGCCACTTCATAACTGTAATGTTGCTACTGTTATGAATCGTAATGTAAATATTTGATATGCAGGTTGGTCTTAGGCGACCCCTGTGAAAGGGTCGTTCGACTGCCAAAGGGGTCGCGACCCACAGGTTGAGAACCGCTGCTCTAAAGGAAACTAGAGTTACCCTGCTATTTCTAAAAATTCAACCAATTAAATTTCAGGATTAGAACCATGGTCCCTTTGTTTATTTCATAGTTGCTATGTAAATAGTTTTTAATAATCACTGAGTGGAACACAGCAGTGGTGAGTATTAACATTTTTAAATGAAATACAGTGATTTAGTAGGGGTAGAGTGAGACCTAGAGAGTATTTTTAGCAGCTTCCCCCAACCTTTGAGTGATTCTAAGTCAGGTGGTCAAGGATCTCGCTTTCAGAAACACAGCTCTGTGAGATTGACAACCTCAGCTTTGCAACTGTTTAGTTGTCCCAGTTGCTATTTTTCAGCAGGCATTGCAAACTAGCCAGATGTGCTTACCCACAACCAAATGGAAGACCAGAAACCAGGGGGGCATGCGTTGCTTCTCTTCAAGGCCGTTTAGTCACGGTCAAGCCCATCTCAAATGGCAGAGCCTGGCCCAGCTGGAGGAATGAATCCTTCAGCACCTCCAAAACTGTGAGGTCTACTGGTGTTGGCATCTCTGCCACGAAAGGTTTTATTGTAATCAGTACTCATGAGTCAGACATTGCCGTTGTCTTAGGGTCCTTATACGTGTGTGTGTGTGTGTGTGTGTGTGTGTGTGTGTGTGTGTGTTCGTAAGCCATTGCTTTCATTTTGCAGAGTCTTTCCCGGTTGTCTGTGTATGTATGTGAGCCTACGATGGAAAGAGTGACAGTGTTTTCAGAAAATAATTTATTTGGAATTGGAGTACTGAATACTTAGACGCAGTGGTGAACACAGAAATGAATGCTTTGTATCTGAACCCCGAATGCTATCATGTTTTAAGGAGGTAAACCTATATTCCAAATTTCTTCGGGCCTCCTTCCAGACCTCACTTCTTGCTCATTCCTCCACAGAGGACTCAGGTGCTCAGAGATGAACTGTTAGTGCCCTCACCAGTGTCCCAGCCCTAAAGCTCAAATGTCTCACAGGTAGCTTTCTTTTAAGTTTGTCTCAGTTCAAAGATTACTTGAAAGTTTTCTCACTAACAGTGTGTTGACATTAGTATTATACATATATGTGTGTGTGTGTGTGTGTATGTATATATGTATATGTGTGTATATATATGTGTGTGTGTGTATATATTATATATATATATATATATAGCATCATATATGTGTTAGCATATACAGTATCAGGGGACCACCTACAAATAAGCACATGTCTACCCAAGGAGCATCTCATAGCCATTTAAGGTCTTAACCTCTATCTACCTCTATTAACCTGTGTAGGTATCTATGTATATATCTACCTCCTTCCACACAAAAATTTGTAGATGCCTATGAGAATAAATATAAATAATTGAAGATATTAAGGAAAATAAGTTAGGGAGAAATAATACAAAAATGTATGCTCTACATTCTTTATAGTGACTTAATTTTGTTCTGAGATTCATAATGGCCAGAGGGAAGATGGAGTCATGATTTATCACAAGTTTCACAATATTTGTAAGAAAAATCAAACAGATGTTTGGGAAAACCTTTTCTTCATATTGAGATCTGGCAAAAATTCATTCCTTAAATCCTACTGTAAGGGAAATATCATCCCTGAATAGAAAAAATAATGCATTTCATATGGCTCTTTTTTTATAACAACCTTTACTTGTTTTGGGGTGGGGTGTTAATTAAACGTGTCCACCTTTCTAAAATACCTTCAGGAGTGTTACCTTTGGTTGAGCCTCAGAGACCAAGCCTCTGAGCTTTCCCTTCGCCTTCACCATCTTTTCCTTTTGCTGGGGGTTCCTTCAAGTGATAAATTTCTTACCTAATCCTGTCACCTCTCATGACATTTTTATTTCCAGCCTTCTGCTTATTCTCTTGTTCTCTTCCTAATGGTTTTATCTTCTACATCCTAAGAACATTTCTCTTCCGCTTCCCATTTTCCAGATCCTGCTTCTAAGCACTCTTAGGAGGAGGGAGAAAAGCTCAAAAATGTAAATATTTCTTTTACAAAACCTGTGAAGCCATGTTGAAATGCTCACATTGTAACCTCTGTGTCCCAGTACCAGGAACAGTTTCTTTAGCCCAAGTGACTGCGACTCTGAAATGAAGCGCTGGACACACGAGGCGGGCGTGGGGTGTTTGATAAAGTCACTGAAAGCAGACCAGCAGGCACTGTTTCCAGGACTTGGGAATCCATTCTGGGTCCAGAGCCTCATACTGACGTTGTAAATACAATCCTGACAATAATGACATTAGTAATATTTAACATGCTATTATTTATTGAGAGCCACTTTTAAGAAACTTTGTCGTAATATTTTACATATGTTACATTATTTAATCCTGACAGCAGTTGCATTTTCCTCGTGATCTCTCGCCCAGCAGGGCCAGGATGTAACCTCAGGCTAACAGGCTCCGAAGTCCACACACCACCCAGATATGATTTAGAAGCTGCCGGTTGTTGAGGAAAGTGCTAGGTTAATTAAAAGCAAGAACTTGCCAGAAGCAAGCTTAAAAGTCTAGATGTTATTAGAGAGCAGCTATAGTTAGTCCTTTGGAAAAGGTACACATTTTCTCTGATCTTACAAAATTAATTTAGGCTTATCACCTGATGAAGTATGTTCATGTAATCATATTAACTTTGTAGGAAGTCATGAAGGGTTATTAAGAAAATACACTTGTCCCCTAATAGGATATTTTCATCAGGGAACATTAGAAAAGTGTTTATCCATCAATTTATGGTTTCTAACTGGAGGCTGCTACAGAAGCCCTCAGGGGTGGAATACAAACTTTCCTTCTCTTTTTACTCCGTTGTCCTCTCAAGACATATGACTTGTTTGACAAGGTAGTTTCTTTACCGGTAAACCACATCTTTGACATTTAGTTAATGTTATTTGGTTCCTAAATAAATCTTTAACTTCCACCTTATTCCTTTTTGTAAACCCACAGAAACGTGTCTCCTGAGAGGGTCAGGTACAGAAGTGCATAAAATCCACTAAGAGACAAAGCTGCTAGGTTCCTTCTCTAAAGGAACTTATTTCTTTACAGACAATTGTCAGTTTTATCTGGACGCTTGTCCCTGGAAGAATGCTTTGTAATGGAATATTAACACTGAGCATTCGTTCTTTTGTTCTGAAAAGAAGAAAGGAAGGGAGGGAGGGAGGGAGGGAGGGAGGGAGGGAGGGAGGGAGGGAGGGAGGAACTGACTCCAAGAAAGGGTGTCTATACCCTCTCCCAGCTCCCACCATCTCTGAGCAGCAGAAATGGGCTCCAGAAAAGCTTAGAGTTTTCCTTTCCAGACACTATTCTTCATAATTAATGCTTGAAGGGGTTTTGGTTTTTTTGTGGGTGTTTGTTTTTTTGGCTGGAAAATACTTGATTTAGTTCAGAACTCAAACTAAACAAAATATGGGAAACACCATTTCTCTTGCTAAATGAAAATCAGAAATTTAAGTCCAGCTTAACATATGTTGTGTTTCATGGGTACTAACACTTCCCAATTGAATCCTTTTTGTACTTTAAAAACAAAACAAAACAAAAACAAAAATGATGACATGGAGAATGTGGAAATGGTTCCAAAGAAAGGAAATAAAAAGATTAAAGGGCTTGGATGTGGTCTAAAGAAAGCCCCTCTAGAGGAACAGCTGGGCCGGGTTAGGCTCAGGAACGGAAGTGGGGAAGGAGAGGTGGGAGGGAAGAAACCTCCGTCTTCCTATACTTAATCATAGTGGTATACTTCACTGAGCCAGATGCTGTGCTGTGTGCTTTACGAGCATTATTTTATTTGAACTTCATCATTTATCTGTGAAATGGGTATTGTCTTTTTGCCAGTAACTGATAGGTAAAGTGAGGCTCAGAGAAGTTGAGTGATTTGACTAGGTCACCCAGCAAATAGGTGGTGGAGCTGACCATTAGACGTAGAGTGATTCTAGAGGGCGTGTTCCTAATCACATGCTATATGTGGGGGGCCTGGGCATCAGTATAGTATATGTAAGAGGACACAAGTATTGGTTTTCCATTGTACTGAGAGCAATTTCATAAGGATGGAACTAAGTGTCTACAAAGGACTTTTTTTTCTTTCTTTCTTCACCTTTTTATGTGGAAATGGAACATTAAGTGCATAAAGTAGAATGTATTTTTGCACAGAGCAACCAGATCTCGATTTCTAATAACTTTCTTCAAGAGAAAAAAGCAAAGCTCCTTGGAGAAGTGGCTGATTCTAAGACAGGGGCTGGAAACACACAAGATGAGCCAGGAACATGTTGTTGTGCCAGAAAGTAGAGATGTGCTTAGAAAAACAACAAAACAGACTGTCAACATGACTTACCCCGTGGACGCTGACCTGGCCGAGGGAGTGTTGGTCATGGGCTGTTTTTTAAAAAAGTACACAAGAGCCGACTGCAAAAGCTCCCAATGGCCAATTTGAGCAAAATAAAGTAGCATTAGATTATAACCTAAAGTGTTAAATAAATATGCACGAGTTCATATTTATAAATGATAAATAAACAAATGGGGGAGAAGGGATAATTCCAAATAACTTATTAGATACTCTGCCCTGTAGGAGGTAGAGCATAACTCCTCACTCCTTACACGTGGGCTACGCCTAGTGACTTCCTTCCAAAGAGGACAGTATAGAGAGGAGGTTTTTAAATAAAAAACAGCCCATGACCAGCACCCTCTCACCCAGGTCAGCGTCAACGGGGGTAAGTCATGTTGACAGTCTGTTCCCTGGATATAACGTGATGAGAATGGCACTCCCTCTGTGGGCTTCCTGCCCAGAACCTCGGACCCCAGTCTACTTATAAGAAAAATATCAGGCAAATTCTAATTGAGGGACATTCTACAAAATACCTGAGCAGTGTCTCTCAAAACTGTCAAGATCATCAAAAACAAGGAAAGGCTGAGAAACCATCATGTCTAAGAGGAGCCTAAAGAAACAGGACAACTAAATATAATGTGGTGTCCTGGATGGAGTCCTGGAACAGAAAAAGGACATGGGTAAAAAAATGAAGGAAATCTAAATAGAGTATGGACTGTTGTGAATAGTAATGTATAAGTATTGGTTTATGAATTGTGTCAAATATACCATCCTTAATATAAGATGTTAATAATAGTGGAAAGTGGATGCAGAGGTATACTCACTTTGCAATTTCTCTACATATCTAAAACTATTCTAAAATTTAACATTTCCTTAAAAACTAATGTATTTGAATAATTATCAAGTAAATATGTACATAACTACCACCCAGAGTGGAAACATTACCAGCTCCCATAAACCCCTTATTTCCCTTCTTAATTATGTCACCAATTCCCCCCCTAGAGAAAAATTCACTGCTGTCAATTTTATGATAATACGTCCTGCTTTTCTTTATAATTTTACCACTATTATGCATTTCTACATTTTTTCCTGATTTAGAAATTTACATGTATATAAATGTAGTATTATTTCTTGTGTGTCTTGCTTACAATTTGCCCAGGTTGTTGCACATAGTTAGCTGTTGGGTGTTATTTTCATTGCTGTGCAGAATTACATTGTATGAGTACGCCATATTTTATCCATTTTATCGTTGCTGAACATTTGGGTTGTTTCCAGGGTGGGTAATCTGAAAGGATATTCTCACCATCAGATTTGTGAGATCTCCTATAGGTTTCTTTCCTTTTTTTAAGGATATCTATTTATGTGAGGCGAGGAGGAAGACCTGCTATTTGGAAGCAGGACTGGGATCTTGCTCGGGGACCAGAATCTAGACTGAGTCCAAGAAGCCCAGTGCTGCTGCTGCTCATGCTTCCCCAAGAGGCAGTGGGCTGCCCAAGTGCCTCAGGACGATGGGAACATTCCTTCCCAGACATGTGTGGACCTGCTCCTTCTCAGTTTTACTCACCCCTTTGCTTGTAATGTGTGTGGGTCAAACAGCAGAAACCTCGCTCTTACTAACAATCCCTCATGCTTTGAAGAGAATGAATCTCTCTTGGGCATGTTCCTACCCAGGCGACCAGCTAGAAAGGAGGCAGTGATCTCCCTTGCCTTCCCCCCTCTCCACCCTCAGGTTTTTCTTGCTCTAAAAACACAGGTTCCTCACTCAGGGAAGGAAACATGCTAACTTTTCTAAGCAGACAAGTCCTTTGTGTGCACGCGCGTGTGCACACACACCCAGTGAGAATCTCAGGTTGTGTCAGGGAGACCTGTTTTGCTCCTCTGGCCACCATGACTCTATTTCCCAGCGAGTGTCTTTGAACTAATTGTGTTTGATTTTTAACAGAGGCTCTTCTCAGGCCAGCTTATTAAGTCTTGGTTTGCCTACGTTAGCCCTGCTGTATTCAGGTCATGACTCTTGTTAATGATCAAATTGAAGGCAAAAGAACCTAGTGATGAAGGTTCCAGGCCAAAGAGTCAGACAGACCAGAATCCTGCCTCAGGTAGGCCTCTTCTGAGCTTGGGTAACCTGGAGTGAGTTACCCACCCCTTCTGAACCTCAGGTGTCTTCGTAGGATTTAAAAAAAAAAATAGCAAGAAACCTTACTTCGAAAGTAGGGTCAAGTGCAAAAATGTATGTAAGAATATTTAACACAGTTCCTGACACAAAAGGGAAAATGAATACATAATGATGATTGCTGTTGACGTTAAAATACATAACTAATCTAGTAATTTCTTTCCTTATCCCTGTGTTTATAATATCACTATATATAAGGTTTTAGAATACAAGGATAGCTATAAGAAATTACTGTGACTTTTAGCATTTTATGCTTTCTATGCTAATTTGAATTCATAGTGGAATAAAAAATGCTGTCCAGTGTCAGTGAAAGGCTTTGTGTTGTTCTCACTTCTGCTTATAAGACAGACCAAATTTGTATCTCTTTCCATCAGGTTTGTAATTGGAGATTTGCTGGATACAGAAAATGACATCTTTGAGCAGCCCAAAGAGTGGGACCCTCATGGATTAGAAGAGCCACAGAAGGCCTTTGACCACGGGATAGAGCTCATCCCATGGTACGTGCTGTCCATCCGAGCTGACGTGCACCAGTTCCTGCTGCAGGGGGCCACGGTCATCCACTATGATCAGGACACACACCTCTCTGCCCGCTGCTTCCTCCAACTTCAGCCTGACAATAGCACCTTGACCTGGATAAAGCCCACCACGGCCTCCCCAGCCAGTGCAAAAGCAAAACTTGGTATGCCTGCTGCCACGTCCGAGCCTGGCAAATTCCCGTTACTGGGCAATGCTGGATTAAGTGGCCTGGCGGAGGGGGTCTTGGATCTGTTTTCCGTAAAGGCTGTGTACATGGGGCACCCTAGCATTGATATACACACTGTGTGTGTTCAGAACAAACTGAGTAGCATGTTTCTCTCGGAGACTGGTGTGACACTGCTCTATGGGCTTCAGACCACGGACAATAGATTACTGCACTTTGTGGCACCAAAGCACACAGCTAAAATGCTCTTCAGTGGATTGTTGGAACTCACTAAAGCTGTGAGAAAGATGAGGAAGTTCCCTGACCAAAGACAGCAGTGGCTGCGGAAACAGTACGTCAGCCTCTATCAGGTAAGGGGTGTGACCTTCCCTCTCTCCTCAATAGCATCATTCTCCAGGTATAAATCTTGGCAACTAGACCACCAGGGCTCATTCTCCCAGCTCAGTCACTTCCTACCTGAGTGTTAGTGGGCAGCTTTTACTTAGCCTCTCTGTGCTCAGTCTTTATCTATAAAATGAGAATAACAGCAATACCTATTCATAGGGTGGCTCTAAGGTTTCATTGAGTTAATATGTGTAAAGGCATAATGTAAATTCATATATATAAAGGATATTGGCTCATAGTAAGTCCTATTATTATTTGGTAAGAAAATAGTGACTGTGGTCATTGTACCTCTCACATCTGGAAAGAAACCAGTTAATGTAAAAGCATTTTCCCTTAAAGTTTCCATTGAAAGCATTGTGATCTGAACACTTTTGTTATTAATTAGGGACTAACTGATACATTGGAAACCTTGGCTTTGGGAATACAAATCCTGCTCCACCACCTAATATGCTACGTGACTCTTGGGAAGTTATTTAACTGACTGTATTTCTAACTATAGAACTTCTAAGGTCAACAGAAACTTTCCCAAGTGTGGGATAACTCACGTGGAGTTCCTCCCAACAAGGTTCGCAGTGGAAGCAGCTTTGGGAGGTAGTTCCTCACAGTCGGCTGCTGAACCTGAGTCTCTCATTAACCCTAAATTATCAGGTACGGTCACACCCCCCACTGTGTTCAGGACTGACAGTGGGACTGGGCTGAAGGAGGTGGTGAGAAGAGACACCGTGCTTGTGGAGAAAGCTGGGCAGAGACTGGAAACAGTCACAGGCCCCGCTACAAGGCGACACTGTAGATAGCATTGTCAAACGAGCTGTATCAAAGCAATCGGTTTCTCTTTTTTATGTTTTTCTATCTCTGGGAGAAGGAGGGGACTTAACTTTTTTACTAGTGTCACAGAACAAATAGAACTATGACTTAAAGTACTAAAACGACTGATTTCACGTACTTTCCACAGTTCTAACATGTTTCTGACAAGTAGACACATTTCCCCTGCGGGATGTAAAGAGAGGTGCATATAATTCTCCTGCTTTCCCGCTTCCTCGTGCCCATGCAATACCTCTGAAGAGAGATCATGTCCTGAATAAGTACCTTGATTAATTAATTAATAAGCACATAGGCCTACATACACGGGTATGCTAATGCTGCACAGCACAAAGCCAGTTTTAGTTAATTCATCTAAAGTGGGAACCAGAATACCTGCTTCCTATCTACTCCACAGGGAGCTTTCAGTGCTGTCAGCTGCTTGGAGGAAGGGTCTTCAGGAGCGATTATGAATATTGATTTTTACTTAAAATCATTCCGCAGCCTTATAGAATCATGGAAATCCAGTCAACCTGGCCATAAATTATCCAAAGTCTTTGAGCTCAATTACAACCACAGGCACAAAGCCTATGTGATTTATTGGCTCCATTTGTTTCCTTCCCAAGCTTAGAGCATAAAGTAGCTGAATTAACCCATAAAGTGTACTTGGTTTCTCAGTTTTTACTGAAAGAGGCACCAGCTCAGACCATGAACAGCTTATGAGAAGAAGGAAGAGGTGGTGCTAGAGCAAAGACACAGGAGGTAACCTGGAGCAGACAGTCCTATCAGCGGCAAACCCGGCTGCACCTCTCCCTTCCCCCACCAAACCCTGGTCCCTCCTCCCTGCATGGAACCAAGTGGTTACAGTGTAAGGGCAAAACAACTCCATATATCTCAGTCTCTTCTGAAAACAGGTGATGTTCTTCCTCAAAACGTTGTTCTACGTGAACTGCCTAGGAAGGCAGGCAACATGTCTTAGAAATAAACACTAGAGATTTCTTGGTCAACAAACTGACGATTTTCCTATTATACAGACTTGTTCTCAGACTATCTTAGGGAACATCAAAATGATGCTAATTTGGTACTCGGAGAACAAAAGGTCAAATAGGCAGCATGCAAATGCCCCTCTGGGTGACTTATAATAAGGCTTAGCACATTTAAGGCTCGGAGGATTCCCAAGTACAAAAGAAACCTATTTAAATGTATATTTAAGTTAAAGAAATGTATTTTTAAAGAAGTCTTGAGTTCTTCCAAACTTCTTTTAAGGGCCCTGCAAGAGTATTTCTTTATCTCTAATTTGGGAAGAGCTTGTATGGAAAATAATATTTCTAACATTCGAGTCCCCTTGTGTGATGAATGCATGCGACGTTACCTTCAAATAAAAGTATTTTAATTTTAGTAAATTGATCTAATGGAAATAGTAGCAGGAGATAAAAAAAAAGTCAAGAAGAAATAGTGACATTTGTAATGAAGCCTAGGAATACAGGAAAGTAAAAGAAAGTAAACCATACAGAGATTTGATGTGAAGTGTAGAGGAAAAACTAGTATCAAAAACTTTGGCTCAAGATTATCATGGGCAGAGCTAAGAACACATAATCCTGGGTATTTGGAAAGATCTCTTGGAAGCTGAGAAGGTTAAGTATAGGATTACCAGGTAGACAGACTTCTTTGGTAGTAAGCAACAGAAACAAATCTGGCTATCTTCAAAAAAAATAAGGATTTATTCAAAGGATTAGATTAGTTTAACTGTCTTCAATATATCATGTGCAAAGATATGCTAAGAGGTAAAAGTGCATGAATATCTTTTTTAAAAAAATATATTTTATTGATTTTTTACAGAGAGAAAGGGAGAAGGATAGAGAGTTAGAAACATCGATGAGAGAGAAACATCGATCAGCTGCCTCCTGCACACCTCCTACTGGGGATGTGCCCACAACCAAGGTACATGCCCTTGACCGGAATCGAACCTGGGACCTTTCAGTCCACAAGCTGATGCTCTATCTACTGAGCCAAACCCGTTAGGGCATGAATATCTTTTAAGGAATCGATTTCCTGATCCTCAACTTCCACATGAACTTTTTTCTAAAACTGAGAATGTGCTTTCATCACAGTAGTCCTTCTCCCAAATTAAAAATAGAAGGTGTATCCTTCACCCATCCCAAACAAGGTTATTGTTTTGTATAAAATGAAAGAAAGATTCTAACCACGTTTTAGATCCCAGAACATCTCCTTTAAAGATTAAACAAAGGAATCCTGCCTTTTTCAGGCCTAAGATATTTTCGTTAAGACTAAAGTCTGGCCCATGTTGGGATGTTCTGATTTAGAGAAGCCAAAGCAGTAGAGGCAGACTCATTTATACACAGAAGGTAATTGGGTCTATTACATTTCTCATTAGAGACTTCCTTTTTAGAGCAGTTTTGGTTTTACAATAAAATTGAGAGAATGGTACATTGATTTTCCATGAACCTCCCGCCAGCATGCATGCATAGGCTCCCCTATAGTCAGCATCAGGCACCAAAATGGTACATTTTCTTACAAACGATGAGCCTACATTGACACGTCATAATCACCCAAAGTCCACAGTTTACCTTAGTATTCACTCTGGGTATGTTTACTTGCCATCTGTATGTCTTCTTTGCTGAAGTATCTGTTACGGTCTTTGGCCCGTTTTTTAAATCAGGTTGATTGCCTTCTTCTTGTTGAATGTTAAGATTTCTTTGTATATTTTGGATTGCAGTCCTTTATCAGATGTTTCTTTTGCAAATATTTTCTCCCATTCGGTGGCTTGTCTTCTAATTGTCTTAATAGTATCTTTTGCAGAGTTTTAAATTTTAATGGAGTTATTAAATTTTAGAAAATGTATTAGTTAAGACCCATAGATAAAATTTTTACAAAATTTCTTTTGTATGTAGAGTATGCTATTCAGTAAGGTAGATAAAACCTATTTATGAAATTGGGTCATTGGCTACTTTGGAGCCAATTGTAGGGACCTGTTAGCCGGGACTTTCTTCAGCAAGCCTACACCAGGTGGAATGATCTCCAGCCATTTTTATTCTCGCATCACTGCATTCAAGATTCTTCTTCCAAGGAGGGAAGTTCTGATGGGTTTCTTTGGATCCTGTGTCAACCATTGGTCAAGGGATGTTAAACCCCTGACTATATCCAGGGAATAAGGGATAAAGTAAAATTGGGGTATGGTTAGAGAAAAGAGAAATGATTAATGGACAGGTATAAATCACAGATATCCACTACAAGAGAGCACCAAAAGTTTCCCACATCAAGTACCTAATTTGCTCAGCATCCTGGGATCCTGAACAGGATGCAGGAAGTGATAGGTCACAACTCAAGTCATAAAATCAGACAGTCATTGAACATTAGGAAGAAGGAGCAGGCGCGCGCGCGCACACGCGCGCACACACACACACACACACACACACGGCCTCTTTATTATTTACAAAGCAAAATCCATTTACAGCCACTTCTTTGGAACTACAAAGGAGGACTAGCCTTAAACATTTGCAGAAAATAAAGGTAGTAAATGGAAAGTATTTATGCAACCTGTGAGCTATCAATATCTTTAATTCATATGCAACTTTTTGTATTTTTATTAACTGGGTTTCCTAACTTATAGGGAGAATTTTTTACCATTATCAATTGAACTATTAATATTTAATTCAATAAATAAATTTTTGCTGCTCACTGCATGTTATATGGCATTGCCTTAGGAGAAACAGCTACTGTAGGTCACTGCCTGCCCTTCGAGTGTGTTTTTGCTGCTCCCGGCATCATACTATGCCTGGTGTTCTGAGTCCCTGGGCGCTCTATTCTCGGATATTAGTCACTTGGGAGGATGGCAGCCCAACTCTTTGAGGTGTTCCTCAGAACCCTCCAGAGTGAATTTTAGGTATGCCACATACCCTATCTTTAAATCAGACTGTCCCAAGCATCAAACAATGTGAAAATACCTAGAGTAAAACAATAAAAAATAAGGATTGATTTTACTTAAATATATTTCACACACACCCAAGTCCTCCAAAGCCCTAATTTGCAAAATATGTCTTAATGAATTTTTTTGTAGTGGTAATTCTGTATATAACCTTGGAAAATGGGAAGGGAAATTATTTTTGTTAATACCAGTTGAACATGGCCCTATTAAAGCACGTCACTGGAACTCAGCAGGGAGGTGACCAGGACTGCAGAGGATGTGATGAAATCCCCCACAGAGTCCTGAGGATTAGAAAATAGAGCCACTTGGGTGGCCAGATTGTTATTCCTCAGTGGCTGCTTTGTAAAAACAATCCCTGGGAATTTCGTGGGAGGAACGCATGTATTTACTTCCACATTGCTTGTGGAAATCACATATAAGAGGCCCAATACTTCTGCAGGAGGATGGAGCGTATGAAGCTCCAGCATGGACGCGCACTGCGGAGTCGTTTGGTCGCAGACGATG